AAGAAATCATGTTCATAATCTTAGCTGACTCAAAACATTTCGTCTGATTATTAGACGGTGAAAAAATGATTACCAATCCGTTCGTAGTGAATGAAAATACCTGGTTTCAACTTTAAATTTTGAAGTAGTTTTAAACTTTTACATTTCTCGTCTTTACAGAGTAACATAATTATAACCAGTGGAAATCAGCTGGTAAAATAGTCGGCTCAGAGCCGCCAGACGTCTGGTTGTAGTTGGGCAACTGCAGCTTTAAAACACAAACATTTCATTAAGATTAATGGGTGCCAGTCCTTTATTTTGCACATCATTACCATCTGTGCTTTCCTGACGCAACATAAATCCAAATTCATCCTTCTAGTATCCAAGGGAAAAGCGATTAAGCTTTCCTTTCAGCCGACGTAAAATTTTAGCAATCTAAAAAGATGCAACTTTTCACAATATGTTATACATCGATACAGGCAATCGTCCCATTCCTAGTTATAATCGTTTTACTGAAAATATAACCACAAAAGTAACTATAACTAGTATTTGCAGCAAAAAAAAAATTCTGTGTTCTTGTCCTCAGTTTTAAACAGTTTCTCTTTTTTCGACACTCAAACTTTAACTCTCATCACAGAAAATGAAGCCACTTGTGATTTCTGTTGCCAATTCTCCACATTACATCTAAAAGTGGCAACAGGAACAATGTTGTATTACGTTTAAATGCAAATGAGAAGAAATCTCTGATCCATGCATTCTGCTTTATGCAGGCAGGCGGGTGGAAAGTTCAAGATAGAAGTGATGAAAACAAGAGAGCGGAGGGAAAATGAAGCATGACCGTAGGGGGAAAAAACATGGTGGCGACGGTGGAGGAAAATAACACAGAGACAAAGGAGAAAAGCTAGAGAGACACGGGAGTAAACACAATCCATCACTGCTGCTCCGAGATCTCTCCGAGACCCGATCCACTTCCTCCTGAATACTGATCTCCTGCTCTTCCTCTCTACATGACGCCGCTTTTCGTCTCCCATCTGTATTTCTTTTGCCACAGCCAATCGGTCTCTGTTCTCCTCGTCCCTAATTAGTTTTCCCCCCTTTGCATCAGATCTCTATTTGTTCTAAAACAAATAAAACCATCTCAACCTTCCCGTTTGCCTGATGGCAGGATTAGAGCCAACCATTTGGGCGTTTATTTATTAAATTTTGTTTTTTTGGTGTAGCCGCTGGCAGCTTTGGAAATGTGTGGTAGACCTGACTAAAACCTGCGAAATGTTATTCACATTTAATAATGAGCGGCTGCAGATGAAACGCAGCGCAGAAGCCAAAGGGGAAATTTGCAGATGGTGGCTGAAGACGGAGAGACGAGCTTGTGTGGGAGAAACATCAAAACTCTAAATGAGCCAAGAAGCCTCTCCAACGCAGAGCCGGACTCGGTTCAGCCGCTTCGCCCAAATCCGCCCACTACAGCACGGCTCCCTCTGGTTTTTAGACTCTTTAAGATCTGCTGTGATGTCAAAGACTGACAGGAGGCCTTAAAAAGTAGGACTCAACCCCGTCGACCTCCGACACATTTCATCACCTCAAACTTAAACGGATTTTATTTTACTGCAACCTCAGATCTCCAGGTGAGATGTTTTTATCAGTAGGCAAAGTTTGCTGAAACAGGTTTCGCAGAGATGAGCCATGTTTCCATCCAACTGTCATGCGAATTTTGAGTGAACTTTTAAAATGTTGCAAAACATTTTAAAGAAAATGTTAATTAGATCATTAGAACGGAACACACATCCCAGAAAAATTTAAAGTGATCCCCTCGGAACTGAAGGTCTGGATTTCTAAAATATTCCAAGTTTGGTGCCTCTGGTAAGGTGCAGACAAACCAGTTCTTGGGAATGTTAAATACACCAAGAGTTATTCGCAAAATGTGTTTCCATGTCCTCTTTACTGAATTCAGTCGTTTTCAGAAAAGCCAAAAATGACCTCAAGCAAGTGTAAAAACGTCTCAGCAAAACTGAGAAAGTAGTTTTGGATTTTGCCGTTTCCAACAACCTTTTCGAACGTCGTACTTCAAAATGCGCATGGATCAATTTTCCTCTGCATACCAGGCTGGCTCTAGCGACAACTGTCGCTAAATTTCATTTGAAAACAAACAACGATTTTTGAAGAAAAAAGGAGTGATTTTAAATTCTGTGTTGGTTCTTAACTTGTGTAGTGACCATTTGTCCAAGAGAAAAAAAACAATTCAGACTGATTAAAGGCGAATAGAACTCAAATAGTCACTTGTATTATGGATTACATATACATAATGTTATTTCATAGCATTTCATTTATTATTTCATTATGCTACATTCCATTGTCATAATTAAAAGAAAATATTAATATTTTCTTTTAAGTATTGGTTTACAAAAGTCAGAGAGTTCAACTTAGTCTCAGGATGAAACTATCGGGCCAGAGTGATGACAACTGACAGTTGCTGTTCTTAAAGGGACAGTGTTATTTATGTTCCATGCATATAGTTCAATTTTATAGCACAAGTAATTGTTACCGTCGTTAAAAAAATCAAATATGATTTGAAAAACATCTGACTTTGTAATTTAACGCCTTGAAATTGGGTCTCTGTCTCTTTAAGAAACTCCTGCTCTTTCTGAAACTCCACTTTCAGGAAGTCGTCACAACATGGCTCCTTTATCAAACCATTACCAGCGTTTCACTAAGAAGTACCTCAGATATTGAGCTCAGCAAGCTAATTGCTGCTGGCTAGTCTGAAGGAGCAGACTGAAGGAGTTTATGAGGTTGGGCTGCTCTGTGAGGCAGAAGCTTGGAAACTGCAGCTGAGGAGGAGCTTTGTTCCTGAAGATGGACTAGGTCCAACAAGGCGCTTTGAACAGCTGAATGGTTGCCATGGAGATTAAAGGATTTCATGAATATAGGCAACACTCCAGATCTGGTTTTGATACGAGAACAACACAATGACATGATGTAAAGCACAGAAACGTAAACCTTACATAATAAATGTTATTTCAGTAGGTCAGAGCTAAATTATCATATGCAATCAGCTGCTGCATCACCTCCTGCAGCAGAGCGCACAGCCTCTCACTCAGTTCGAAGCCTGATCTGGCAGTGTGTAACCTGGCTGAGTAGGTACGCTCTCCAGGGAAGAGTGTGTTGCCAAGGACGTGTTGCCAAGGATGCTTAGAGCGGTGCCTGGCAGATTATTACCACCGCTGAGGACACGAGGCCCAGCGCCGGGGGACTGCTTTAACAAGGTCGGGCTGCACAACTGCAGGAGCGCTGAGAGTGTGGAGCCCGGCGGAAAGGGAGGGGGGGAGTGGCAGCTTCCGGGTCGCTAGATGATCTGCCTCACATTTGCTTACTGTTTTTTTTTTTTTTTTACTATTAACAAAGGGGTACATAACGACTCCCCTGAGATGAAGCCGTCTCTCTGCTGCAGGCCGACTGCACCAGTTGGGAGGGCTAAGTGCCTTGCTCAAGGACGTGTCCACTGAGAGTGAAGAATCAGTTCCTCCTGCTTTTATCGTCCCTCAGCTATTCATCATTGTCATTCCCTCATTTTTTTATCAGTAACAATCACCTCCAAACATCCTCCACTCATCTTCACAGTCCCAGCGCACCTCTCCCCTCTGCTCCCTCCATCACTGTCTTTACCTCCCACGCTTCATATCCTTCCTTTCCCACCACCCACTGCTTCGGTTATTACTCTAGTGGGCAATGATGAATGTTTGGGTGAAGAGGGCGGAGCTGACTGAGTGAAGGAGACGGAGGTGTGGGGATCTGGTTTGCAGGGAATTGGCTAATTTTTGTTTGTCAGTTCAAAAAACTCTAACCTGCCACAGTAGGCAGGAAATGCCTGCGGTGAAGGCATTTCCTTCACTGCATACCTGCGCAAACTGGAATTACAAAAACGAGCTCGCCTAATGGAAACACGACAATTTCAAAAAAGAAAACATGTTTTTCAATAAAAAGTTTTTGCGCTAGGATAAAGTGGCTATTCGGATGGATCGAAATTAGCATATTTTCCAAAATTACAACATTAACTTTTCTGGATCACAAGTTACATGATCAACGACCAGATGTTACTACTGGCGGAAAAGACGAAGAAGACGACAGGAAGTGGATGGAGGATGATGGCGTGGTATGCTTTTCTAACGACTCATCACATACAGGTGTGACTTTAATCAAGTATCTTATATAACGGAAACATTGCAATTGCGAAATTGTGCTTTTTTTTGACAAAGTTCTGCGCAGTCGTAATGGAATCGAGCTGTTGATTCATGAAAGGCTGCAGAGCCTATAAATGACTGAATAGTTGTTTTCATGTCAATCTTCATAAATTTAAACCAGTTTATAAGATAAAGATGCAATATCTACTTTTTGATTTTTCCAAAGCAGAAAATGTTTCTGTTTGTGAATAAATAATCGGTGCTTTAGATGTTTGATCCTCAACCATTTACAATACAGCTAAATAGTTTTATTTAGATGTACGTTTCTTTTTTTCTTGTGGGGAAAAAAAGGAGAAACATTCATTTTAGAGGGAAAAAATTAAAAATTGCAATAACTCAGTAGGTAACTTCCTGCCTGGTTTTTTCCCATGTAGACAGTCTCTTTCAGAGCAAATGTGGGTTTAAAATCTGTAACAAGATGAACTTCAATGTCATTCAAGGTCTGGGGAGACGACCTGAAAACATTTCTTCTGATTCTTATAATTTCTCCAATGCTACTAACGAGGACGAAAGCAAAATCTCATTTATTTCAGTATTGATTTGGCAAAAAAAAAGAAAAAAAAAAGACTGCATTTATCAAGTAACGTTAGTTGGACAAACTTCACTATAAATCTGTTTTCTCCTATAATTTTGTTTTCAAATCTCAGAGGCAAGTAGAAAAAAAGAAAAAAACGCTCAAGCTCTGACATTTTCACCCACTTACTTGAACTGACCACATTTCTAACAGATGCAAAGACGATAACATTCGAACCAAAGTCACAGTGAAAAGCGCAAGACACTTACTTCCTGTCCAGAGAGGTAGTACGCTGCTAAGAGTCCCCCAATGAACCGAATGTTGACCTCGAATACAGACACCTCGGCATTCTGGGAAAACGAGAGAAACAAACTGAAGATACAGAAAAATCATGGCGAACATGTAAACACTTTAGCTCGCTGTGAGTGACAGGAGCATCACAATGGCAACAAATATCGTCATAGCAACATGCAAAACTATTGTCGTCCAATGTTTTCACATCATTTTGCAGCTTTGGAACGCATCCCTCCAAAGACTTAAGGAATTCATCTTCACATACTGAAATGTAACGTTGCTCGCAGAAGATAAGCGCTTAGGGTTCATGAATGCAGCTTAAAGACCGATAAGTGTCACTTCCTGTTACCTAACGCGGTTTCTGAAGCTTCTCTTGTCCTATATTCACCGACTGTGAGATTTCTGCCCTTTTATGTCAGGACTTGTAATAGGCTGCTCGACGCTACAGCTGCTAAGACACCTTTACAATAAACTTATCTAGTGAAAAAAGGAGTTTCTTGTTAAGCTCCATCTCATATTCAATCATTTCATTATCAGTAGATTGCCGTTCTCTCACAGAACGGAGCGGTTCACCCGTTCTTCCTTTGAACAACCTCCCTCTATCTCATGATCCGTGAGCCGTTTGAAGCAGGACTGATTCTGGGCTTTTGACTGGAAGAGATCAGAATCGCTCCCTAAACAAAGGAGACCTCTTGCCTTTGATGCTCTGCTAGATTTGGGTCTTTTTTTTCTTCTTCTTGCATTCAATGAGCAGAACGCAGACACCTTCACCAAAGATGCATCTTGAACTTTCCTTTACATTCAGAGTTAAAGAAGGACTATAAAAGTACAAGCCACTTAATTCTCTTATATCCTTGCCTGCACAGCAAATCAGTAAATTTTTGGTTGAGAAGTTGAAGCTGCTCTGCATGACAGTGTATTAGGGTCACTGTAGATGGAAAAAAACTAAAAATCTGAAATTAAGTGTAAAAGTGTAAACCTTTTGACTTTTGGAATGTTTCTCAGTTTAAATAAAAAGTTTGACTTTTGGATCAGAGAAATTTCCGAGCTTTTTCCTAGAAAATATCCGAGATCAATCTCAAAATGTCTGAATTTCTCATCGGAAAGTTTCTCTTTTTTTTTTCTTTCAACAATGGTTCTAATATGCCGTCATAGCTCTGTTAAGTAGCCCGGCTGAATCAATGCTGATAACTTAAGTAGTTTGTTAAGTGTTTATATTTCTAACCACAGCTGCATAAAATGCATTTTGCATCCAACACCGAATTCTGTTTGGACAGTCTCTCTTTCCCATTCTGGTATGGCCCCGCCATCTTTATTTCTGTACCAACTGGTTCCGTTTAAGGACGACCAGCAGCACCCTCTTCTGTCCGGAGGCCAAACTACAAGACTAAAATAGGGTCAGAGCGGACATTTTTAGTTAATCAAAAATTTGAACTAATTTTAATCTACCAAACCATTAAATCGACAAATAATTGTAAGTCGATTAACTCATTCAAATATTTAAAATGGAGTAAAAAACTACAAAGAATGATGCAGAAATATGGAGACTATATTCAACATGCCATGTCTTTTTTATAAATCTAAAGCTAGGTCTCCTTATTCAGTTCAATCAGTGTTGTCCACAGATGCATTCAAGAGTGGAACAACCTCTAGTAGACCTTTAAACGTAATGACGACTTTTTTTTTTTTTTTTACATGATAAACTCAAAGTGAGTTCAGCTCTAAGTGGCTCTAGTTGGAAGAGTAGGTCACATGAAAGTTGAGAAAGTTTTAGAGCAAATGTCTGTAACATTTCTGCTAAAGGCAAAAAAAACATGGTGGCTGCAGTGTGTCTGGGCATGTGGCTCAGTCTGTTCTGCTCACACTTGTCTGTCTCTGTGGGGATGTTATTGATAATGCATGCCTGCTCCCTCTCTTCTAATTGAAGAGCTTACGCCCCAACTATCCAAACTGATAGAACATGGGACGTTCCGTCAGCACCACGGTTGGTTGCTCCTACGTGGAGCCTGCTGCAGGCGGGGAGTTGCACCAGCTGTGGGCTTGCAGGCGCACCAGAGATAAGCAAGGGAATGAATTTGCTCCCAACAACCAAATAACAAATAAAAACCCACAAAGTGGTGTCATCTCCAGAAAACAAAACAGGACTACTCAGCAGTTTGTGAGGACCGAGTCCTTAATGAATGAACCTCCAGCCGTTTGCCAATCATGGAAACATTGTAGGGAGGCAGAAAAATGGGGAAAGAGAAGACTATTCTGGGATATGAGAGGCATCTTCTCACCACCTCTTCTTAAATCTACCTCCACAAAGACGAAGAAAGAAAAACAAAGACAGACAAAGACAGATCCAAGGAAATAAAAGACAGAAAAAAGACAGAACTGCACATAATCAAAGAGATAGAAAGAAAGAGACAAAAATAAAAAAATACAAAGACAGACAAAAAGAAATAGACAAGGAAATGGGCAGAAAGAAAAATACGGCAAGACAAAAAAAAAAGCTTTTATGTGAAAGAAGAGACTGAAATAGCAAACTGGCTCGCACAGTATACAAAGGCATAATTAATATGTCATATGATACCTGTAAGTTTTACTTCATTTCATGAAAAAAGATTATTTCAGAATATTTAGGTGGTAAATGATGAACATGAAAGGAAATTGGAGGTTGTTTAAGGTGAACACACGCAGTGATGTGTCCAAACAGGTTGACTCTTCTATAGATACACCGTCAATTCGCTCTGTAGTGTTCCTGAAAAGTCCAGGAAGTACCATATCTCTCATTCATAACTAGAAGACTAAATCTGACATAAACTCGGTCAGATTTGATGACAATTGAGGAATGTGTCAGCCAGGCGTCTCAGCCAAAATACTCAATTCAGCAGCAGCTTATCAAGCCAGGTGGCAAGGAAACCAAGCAGACTGGGGATTTTTTTTCCCACTGACAATCGTCTGTCGCAGGTAACGAAAAGCTGCGAACGGAAAGGGGAATGACAGGGACACGAAGCTTAGCAGAGTCAAAGATTACAGCTTTAAATGCGTCAAACCATCACAGTTCATTTCAGGGGCGCCGAGTGGCAAAACGGTTAGAGCAGGAGACCCGAGTTTGGTTCCTTTACTGTACGTCTTTCCCCCCGTCCTGGACTGGCAAGAATGGACTCGACAGCTCGAGATAATTTCTCCTGATCTACTGCTTCGGCCGATCTAACTCCTCACCCTCAGACGGGTGATTGATGAGATTGTTAAGCAAGTCTATTAACCTGGAGGCTGAAGGTGGATGCAGACCTCCTGCCGACGCATCCATCAGGTGAAGTCGAGCTACGGTGTCAGGGTCCAACCTGGACACTTGACAGTCCTCGTTGTGCTCACTGCCAGCATGGCAGCTATTCAATCAATCATGATTTGTAAGGTTTGTGGACGGGGTGATAAGCAGGTCTAATTCAAATTTAATGATGAGACAATATGATGTTGTTGGTTTAAAAATCATCAAAATACATTAAAGATCTGCTGCTGTTGTTTCAACTTCCAGACCTCTGAGGTCTTCTGGTTCTGGGGATGCAAAGCAGAACCAGAACCAGCATTCAGCTTCAATCTGGAACAAACTACCAGAAAACTGCAGAACACCCAAAACACTGAGTCCCTTTAAATCAACACTAACAACCAACCTGTTTAAAGTTGCTTTAAACCATAATAAACGAAACATTAACCAACATATCTGATGTGTACTGATGATTTTATTGATGGCACTTGACAAAATGTTACTGATTTTGTCGAGTGTTCACAACCGTTGACTATATGATTGATGCTTAGGATATTTTCACAATGTGAGCACATTGATCTGCCTTGTTGCTGAAATGTGCAATACAAATAAACTTGACATGACTGCACTGATGAAGAAGGTGGAAGACAGTAGGTGGATAACTGAGGGACCACTGCCCTGCGTGTCTTATGTGTTTCTCTTCTGCAACACACCTGACTTGAATAAGTGAGAAATTAAAAGGCTTCTACAGCAAGTGAGACAGAAAACATGCAGGACAGTGGTCCATGAGGACGGACTTGAGAAACACTGGCTGAGACCAAAATAAGATTAAACAGTTTAAGGTCACAAAGACACAAAAGAAGAAGCATGAAAGTCGGTAGAATCAAGAAGGGGAATGCTGCTAGGACTAGAGGTCCTGTTGGTGGAGAAGACCAACCAACCAATGGAAAAGTTTGGTTGGTACACAAGAGAGATGGATGGAGAGAGTAAAGCCAGGACAGAGCCCGACTTCAAGGGTGATTTTTCAAAGAAGCAGAGCTGAAGGAGTGAAGGTCAGAGGTTGATGGTGAGACCTGCTGAAAGGCACCAACATAAAGACAGAGCTGGAGATGTTCAGAGTCCCACTGGGAGCAAAACGGACACGAGTCCATCAGAGCAAAAGTTCATGTCAAAGAGACTGGAGAGGAAGTTCGAGAAGAACGGCGGCTCATGCAGACGGTTGGTGTGACAGAGGAGGACGCCGGCGGAGAGAGATGGAGGCAGAGGAGTTACCGTGGTGACCCCCTGAAGGGAGAAGCCAGGAGAATTACAGTGCCTCTTGTGCAGGCACAGAAGAGTAATTAAACTAGACTAGGAGTGATGCTTTCAATTGCCTAAATGGAAATCCAAACTGCCAGCCTTGGAGCTCTTTAATGCGGGCCGGACACAGCTGCAACCTTTAGGGCTCAAACGATCTGTGATGCAAGAGCTCAACCTGATGCCATTCCTGATTACACTGCCAGGCCTCTGTGGCTGTTCAGACTGCCATCCATCCAAACCTGATTAGCAAAGGACCACGACAGCAGGAAGTAGCTCTGTCGCAACAAGCAATTAATCACATAATAGATTGAAATGAAATTTATCATTTCCATTCTGATGGCTGATACTTTTTTTTGAAGGGTAGTTTTCCTTATTTATTGTTTTTGTTTGCTGTGCTTCACTTTGAATATTTAAAATGTCTTCTAGTTTTAGTGTGGATTGTTCTGTACAAAAATAAAGGGTAACACTTTATTTGAAGGGGTGTTCATAAGACTGACATGACACCGTCACAAACATGACATAACACCTGTCATGAACATGAAGGAGTCTTTAAGAATGTTTAGGACTGTTGTCATGAAGTGTCATTCAGTAAATAATGACACTTTTAATGCAAAGTTGCTCTAAATGTTGCATTAAAAGTGCCAACTTTGCATGATTTTGTAAATTATAATTTAATGCAAAGTTGGCACTTTTAATGCAACATTTAGAGCAACTTTGCATTAAGTGTCATTATTTACCGAATGACACTTCATGACAACTGTCCCAAAAATTCATAAAGACTTCTTGATGTTCATGACAGGTGTTATGTCATGTTTATGACAGTGTCACGTCAGTCTTATGCACACCCCTTCAAATAAAGTGTTACCAAATAAAGTTTATTAGAGTCTGAAAGAGCAAACTCACATTATTATGCCCGTAACACTTGAAAATGGTCTCCAAACAACAATATTATCATCATTTTATTATCATCCAGTAAAATCTGTTATTGAGACAAGACTTGTACTTGCATATTTATGCAATTATTTTATTTGAAAATGGTCTTAAAACTACAATATTATCATTTATTGCAGTAATATCTGGGACAATTTATGGTCCAGTAAAATCTTTTATCGTGACAGGCCTAGAGGTCGAGTGATGTCATCCTAATAAACCCAAATCTTTCCATCATGCTGCACCATCTGAGAGAAACACCCAACTCTCCTCTGCCTAATGCATGCAGGTATGAATCCGAGTCCTTAATGAACGCAGTGACACGCCTCCCTCCTCCTCCAGCTTAAGCTTCAAGCCTCATCCCTCTCTTCTCCTCCCTCTCCATCCCCTAATCTCTCCTCTTCACTCCCTCTTGTAGAATCAAAGAGGCTCTCTTCCTCTTCTGCTGCCTTCTTAATGCTTCACACCAGAATGTTTGCATCCCTCTCCACTTGCGTCCTCCTGTTGCTGTCGGGCTGCCGCCGACCTGGGTGCTGGTGTTTCCAGAAGCAAGTTTTAAATTTTAATAGATCTTTCGATTTGACTGCCAATCCAAGACTGAAAAAACAAGTCTTTCCCTTCAACACATTTCTACTCCTTCCTTTTTAGTAACTCTCATAAGGCTTTTCTCTCTCTGACGGCCAATAGACAGCATCTTTGACCTTTAAAACCCAACTGCTGGAGTTTGTGTCAAACCTACCCTCATCAATGTTGACTCATAGCACAAAACTGACATCTTCTCATTAAAAAAAACAAAAAAAAAACTCATCCTTGGCTATGTCTTGACCTTGCTCCTTCCATTCATGGCTTGACCACAGTGATCTGGAGGTTAATTAGCCCTCCAAGTGTCAGGCTGGTAGAGCCGCCTCTGCCTACCTGCCCTGCGACTGCCTCAGGAGGGAGACTAACAAGCTCGGTAGTCAGTCGATAGAAAAGGAGGGATGAAGCGGAGGCAGAGAGAGGTGAAGAGATAACCAAATGTGGGCAGTCAAATTGTGGTTGACGGACAGGGGGGAGTCGAGAAAATCACAGGAAGAAGCAAAAAAAGGATTCATGTGATTTAAAATGAGATTTATTTCCACACAGGTGGACTCTGTTTACCAACTACATGTGATTACAGGGTTTTTTCACACCTGATAGTCGGGTAGACTGGGTTCGATTGAGAACTAAAATTGCAACATTTGCAACATTTTTCAGTTGGTACGGTTCGCTTTCACACGGCACTGGGTCAGAAGAACCAAACAATTTCAACAACATATTTCCTCCTCGCCTGCGGTGGCACTGCACCAAAAACAACATAAAACCTCTGAATAAGTCACAGAGTGCAACTTCCAGTGTGGGACTGTGTGAAGAAATCACAACAGGAAAGTCATCTTACAATGTCAAAAGGAAATGCATGCAAAACTGTACATAGCAGTTATTAATATTGGCTATTTATACTGGTCCAAATTTTCATGTCGATGTTCCCCTAAAATAAGCTTATTTTTGCCCCACTCAAAAAAAACTTCACAACTATCTGAAAACTTAAAATCACAATAAATCAATTCAAATTAAAAAATAACAGATTCCAAAATGAAATTTAATTGAATTTAAAAAAACAAAAAATAAGTAAATAAAAAAAAAAACGTATTAAAGTACATGCTTTTCATGGACCAAAATGTGAAAAAGTGTGAGATTTGTAAGTTCTCTTAGAAAAGACTGCATGACAGGAGGAGAAGATAAAAAAGACACATGAGTTTAGGAACAAGACAGACCGTAGGGCGGAGGAACAAAGAACACAATGCAAAGAAGGACTGCTGTTTGTAGAGGGGGAAAAACTGACAGTCCAACAGATGGAGAATAAAAAGACGAGACGGACGTAGCAGATGAGGAGGGAAAAGAAATAAAAAATCAAACTGTTAACATTTAGTATTACTGAGAAGAAGAAACGGTAGGCAGAGTGAACATTACACCCAAAAAAAAAGAACATTTCAGCAGAGAAAAGCAACTATAAAAGGTTAAAGAAAGTTATAAAAGAGAAACATAAAAAAAAGGAGACATCTGGTAACAAAAGGAGAACTGGAGCAGGAAATAAATCAGATGAGCCGGAGAGAGGATTGACAAACCCTGAAAATTTCGCATACCTACAATACTGATTTAAAGCCTAATCAAAAATAAATATGACTAAGATTCGTCTTAATGGTTAAGCAGCCCAAAGTGATGCGTCTTATTGTTTCAGTTCTTCATGACAACATGACATGTCACTGAAATGATTCTACCCTAAATGGGGCAGATTACCTCAGAGGTGACGGTGGGGTGTTAACAAGGGAGAAAACAGAGGCTTCATCCATCACAGCCTGGCAACATCTGCATATTATCAGATAATTGCACAAAATGGCTTGTTGCAAGCCCAACAAATTAGCATGAGTTAAAGTCAATCAGGCACGGCTCCATCACAGCCAGCAGGTAACTGAATAGATTGGCAAAACGAAAGGAGACGCTTGGGATTTCATTTCTTTGGCGAAAATCCTCTGAATCAAACAGCAGCTCGTGTTTCTGTAACAAGCAAAGTCTACGGCTGAATATATTCTCCCAAAAAAGGAAGTCCCCAATTTAATAAAAGCTCCTAAGACAATTTTGCAGAGTAGAAGGAAGGTTGTTGCTCACCACACTGAAGTCCAGATTCTGCTCGATCCACTCCTGGCCGTCCTTGAACTCTTCATGTAGACCCATGATGTACAGGGTGTCCAAGGCGTCCACGATGGTCGCCCCGAGCTGGGAATTACCTGGACAAAACACACCCCAACGTCAGGTTCACCTGTACAGTCACACCTGGACAGGACATGGACCACTAATGCCAGGGGTGGAAATTGGCACCTGCCACGGGTCAAATGTGAGGATCTCATGATGTAATAAAAGAAAAAGTCTACTGAAAATATCCATCGACTGGGACGGCCCATTGGTTGATTTTACTGATGGACTTTGGGCTAATCCATTTCATCTGACTGGAGGTGAAGAGAGATGAGTGGATACCTGGTGGGGCGGGAACAGAAAAGCTGCAAGAACAAAGGCTAAAAAGAAAAATAACTAGAGACACATCTTCACTACATACCATCTGGGAACGTTGTACCCAGAATCTTTAAATGCTCAATATAAGAAATTACCAGACTTATTTTTAAGCTGCTACTGTGATGAAGAGTTCCTTTTTACATGGATAAATGGTCTTAGTATGGGCATACTTAAGGTCTTGCATAAACGGTGTACTCTATAAAACAGTGAGAAGACATGTCTAGCAAAGTTTCTTTGACATGCACTTTCATTTCAAGATGAGAACTGTGACACCGACTCCCTCCCCCAAGATAAAGAGAGTGGTGAAACAACGTATCAATTTTTGAACATGGGTTCTCCTCCTCTTTGTGGGCTGTTGTGCTTTATTTTAACTTTTGAAACAAGAAATAGAAGCCAAAAAGTAAAGAAAAAAAGTTTGGGAATGTTAAGAGTTCTGTAACTTGTTAAAATTTGATGTTAATTATTAAAAAGGCGATATTATGCGTCTTCAAAGCACAGTGTCATTAGAACTCCACAGATATCTTTTCTGGTTTAATCTTTATAGTAGGTCCCATCATATTGACGTCTGCCTCGAGGTTTTGTCTCCAGGCTTTTCTTAGACAGCCTCTCTTTTGCTTGCCATGGGGGTTCTGCCTGAGAGCCTGTTTGCTGTTGGCAGATCGCAAAGGTTGTCCTACCCAGTGTACAGAATCCTACTGAGACGGCTGATCAGGAATGTCTGGTTTTGTCTATTTGAAGCTTTCAGAAAGACAAATCCTCCAGATTTCAGCCTCATGCAGCGGTAATGAAGTCACACGGGAGTTGAAAAGTTGGATCTTAAGGTCAGGGTCAGCTCTCTCGATGCCCAGACATTCTTGAGCTGAACAAAGGCGACTCCTGGTTTGCCGGATGTCTTGACATCTGCAGGTGTTCCACCTGGCTGGTTGATAATGAAAGACAGTACTTCTTCCTCCAGAGGACTACCATTTAGGGTGATTGGGTTGATGCAACTGGCGTTGATCAGAAGGATTTTGGTTTTCTCCTTGTGGATGATGAGACCAATCTGTGCCGATATGGCTCCTGGAATACCGGTCTCAGACCCATGATGAGACAGGTATTGTTTTGTGATAAAAACGTAGCGAGAGTGATCCTATCAGATCAGCATTTGTTACATTTCAATGGTAAAAGCTGAAGGCATTGCCCGTTACGTCCTGCATCCTTTCCTCTCGGCAACTGTATGCAACACTAGATTTCCCAAACCTCTCCACCATCCCTTCTTATCCATGACTCCATTCAGAAGCCCAGCTTCATGCAGCCGCTGCAGCATTATTGTCGTCATGGAGCAAAGCCTCTAAATCTCTAAATATACACTGCAGTCAGGCAGGCGGCAATAATGGCAGGATGTCCTGGCTGTCTTCCTGACTGATTGGCTTTGGCTGCTAATGGAGCAGATACCCCTGTTCTGCGGCGCAAAATCCCGCTCAGCTTCCATCCAGTCTGTTGCTTTCAACTGCAGCTACGCTTAAAAATCAGAACCGAGACGAAGATATGGAGTTAGAGGACTATGGCTAAGTAAAAGGAGTGCGGCAGGACTCGTAAAACCTTTTGTTCTCTCCACAAACCTGGCTTTCATGGAAAAGTGGAAGCAAGACCACCACCTTTCCCATGTTGAACTTTTTAAATCAAAGCCCAGTGAGAATCTGTGGCAAGACCTAAAAACAGATGTTCACAGCAGCAGAGTTTGAACTATTTTGTGGAGACGAATGGGAGAAAACGTGATCTCTGGATACACAGAGCCAGTGAAGACAGAGTGGAATGGAGAGGTCTGTCATTGTCATCGTAGGTTCACCTCAACTGTGTGAGATGGAATCTAAAGAAATGTATAATGTATTAATTTTTAAATAATTTGTTTTATTACATGAAATAAGTTTTTGATCTAACAGAAAAATAGAAGTTACTTGAAAAAGAAAACTTTGTTTATAATTAAAAAGGTGGGACATTTCCTGCAGTTCTTGACCAGATATGGACTCACTGCAGCAGAGATTTTGGTCCAATCCAGATTGTCTCCAGATCTTTCAGGTGTCAGGGACGTTACTGGGTTCAGACTCCTGCTACGCCACTCCAGGACATTGAGGTGATTCTTACAAAGTCACTCCTGAGGTTTTCAGGTTTTGTGCTTTGAGCCAATTTTGCTGGAAGACCCACCTTCAAAGGTTTGTTGAGGGAAGGAGGTTGCTGACCGAAATACCATCATACATGACCCCATCCATACACTACTCAATTTCTAGATAGTTTCTAGTTTCGTAATACTTTCTTACGCAATGATACAACATCCTCATTAAAGTACTTTTGCAAGACATTGACCGGGAATTATTTCTATTGTTGAAATTGGTTGAAATGAACGTCTATTGTACATACCAAGCATTTCGATTAGATTCTAACAATAGCAATGTGCTGTTTAACCTTGAGAAATCCTGCAAACTTAGTGTCTTCCAACAACCTTAAGATCGCACGTAAAACAGGAATTCCTCTCTCCGTCTCCTTTCCGCTCCATCACTCACTCCGTCTTCCCATAAGCCCCTCCTCCTACCTAACCATCTGTTTGTTCTCATTCATCAATGTCAGGCTGTGTTTTCTCTAATCTTCCTTTGATTGCTCCATCCAAACTCTCCTCTTACCATCTGTACGCACGTTTTCCACACGTTTCACACTCTCGAGCGCTCGGCTCTCGCCAACACTTCCCTTTTGTCATGGTGTTATCCACCGTACTCTCCTCCCCTTCGCCCTAAACGCCGCCTTATCTCGCGTTGCGGTGCTTCTCTGCCCATGTTCACAGCTGCTGCTTTCCAAAAACGTCAGGTGCAGAAAGCCGTTGGTGCAACACGGCCTGCGTCACATGACGCTGGAGCGGCACTAATCAGAAGGCGCTTTAGGGAAGCCAGGAAGTGCTTATGTGGAACTAATTGGCCAAAATGAGGTGTATTTATTTGGGAAGCGATCGCGTCAACCTCGTCCAACACAGACACTCAAAACATAAACCCCCACTACTGCAAAACACACCGTTGTCCTTTCACAGCCTTCACTCTTTTCCCTCTGGCTATATCTGCACGTCACACCATCTCACTAACTAAAACTGAACGCTAACTCAATTCATTAGTCTCCCTCCCCCTTCGTTCCATCTATCACAATTTCACCTGCCTCTCTCTCCATTATCTCCCTCCCACTCTCTCTGTCTCCAACACTCACACCACTCTCTGGGCCCTGATGCCAGTTTCATTAGACAACAGGCTTCTGAGCTCTCTGGTGTGAATTCACACAGGGTTGAGAAGCAACGGAGAATTATTCAGGCCCCGTTCTGCCCGTCTGTTAAACCGGGGACGACAGCTGAATGGAAAGCAGAGACAAAGACCGTGATGGATGTGTCTGCGTGTTGCACGGGTGTGTTTGTGTGCTGTGAACACGGGAGGCGTGGAACATGAACCCCTTCGCATGTAGCTGCATGAGAGAAGAGGTGATCCTCTCCTCACCGTCATCCGCACTCAAACCGTTCTACCTACACAGTGTTACTTTCTCAGATACGTTACATCACTGTTACATCCCACAACACAGCACAGTTTTACAGCCTTATTCAAGTAAAAATCAACAAAGTTGATTTGATTTATAATTCTTTGGAAAGAAACAGACAAGGAAGGAATGACAGGAGAAAAGGAGAAGAAGGGCAGATGGAAGGAAAGGACGGAAGAAAGAAGACGAGGAGGAAAGAAAGAAAGAACAAAAGGAGGAAAACAAGGTGAAACAAAAAGGAGGAAGATAAGGACAGACGAAAGAAGAAAGTAGAGGGTAGTAGAACAAAAGGAATGGAAGGAGGACAAAAGAAAGTAAAGAAGGAAGAAAGGAAGGACAGTAAAACAAAACGAGGGAAATGTAAAGAAAGGGAGGAAGGAAAGGGAAGTCGAAAGTTGAAAGAAAGACAAGAGAAAGAAAAATGACAGAAAAAGAAGAAAGGATGGACAAGGTATTAAAGTAGAACAAAAGAAAGGAAACAATGGAAGAAAAAGATGGAAGCAAGTAAGTAAGGACGGCCCCGGTAGGGAAAGGAAGACATGAGAAAGAACACAAAGACGGATGGACAGAAGAAAAGGAGGAGGAATAGAGGTGGAGCGCACCCCTCAAAGGAATAAAATATGGAAAAAAGGGATTGAGGAAAGTGGTTCTCATATTTTTTCTTCTTTTCCAGGACTGAAACCAGATTCCAGACTTTTCCCAGACAGAACCAGAACCCGGTCAGAGTGACATGTTTATTTACATCCACTGAACAGGCTCAGCTGTAAATTGTCTGTTTCTACAGCCTGTGTTTCTACATGTCAGCTTCTCCTGCAGAGTGAACCGACGGTGCTGCTGCTGCTGTTAGCACACATCACTCTGTACCTGGAAGGAAACAAAAACAGCCAATTTATAATGAAACCTCGCTTTAAAGAAACACTTTTCACTTAAACACATTTCCTCCTGGTCATTCATTCAGCGTTAATGCTAACCTTTAGCCCCTGCTAAGCTAACAGTAAATGGCAGCATGTTGCAGTCAGAAACTCCTGTGACTCCTTAAGCCTGTTTTCCTAACAAGCCAAGCTTCCTGTGAGAGCCGCTACGTTTTCTCTCCAGGCCAATCCAGACCCGTGTCTCTGACCGATAACCCGCTACCAACGTATTTAGCGGCACGGTTCAACATGTGCTGGCTTCT